TACTCCAGACCTCAAATAATACTAAACAATCCCTGGCTGGTTCTTTTGGCGGTTTCCTTTACAATTCCTTTATTTGGATGTCCTTTTGGTTGAACAGCTTGAGCATTATTGAAGGCAATCCTTTCTGGATGTCTGATTTGGCTGCTGCATGTTTCTTTTAAAATTCCTTATTTGGGCATTGCAATTTGCAACCTGAAATCAACCCACAAAGACCACCCCCCACGAGCAGCCCAAACCTTCAATTACTCCAGGCCTCAAATAATATCAAATAATACTAAACAATCCCTGGCTGGTTCTTTTCGTGATTTCCTTTCCTTTCCTTTCATTGTCCTTTCAATTTCCTGTCCTTTCCTTTCATGTGCCTTTCATTTCTTTCCCACTCCTTTCATTGTTCTTTCAATGTCCTTTCCTTTCCTTTCATTGTCCTTTCAATTTCCTTTCCTTTCCTTTCATTTTCCTTTCATTTCTTTTCCTTTCCTTCAATCTCCTTTCCGTTCCTTTTATTTCCAACTCAAATCAAGATTTTCTGGAATTTTTCTGGATTTCACATTATTTGGGGCCCACACTTGATCAAGGGGGGGAGGGGGGTGAAAGAGTGACTAGGGCGTACACGGTAGAGGTGCAGACCGCTAGTGTCTTTTATGCGCAGAGTCTTATCCTCTTGCTCTTTGAGCCTTGAAGCAGTCAAGCATGGACACACTATATCGGCTGTTGGAGTGGAACCCTGTACAGGTAGGCTCTACTTTTCAGGGGGGGGGGTTTATTAATAAGAGGCCCACATTAACCTGACCATGGCACTACCCGCATGTAATGTTCTCATCGTGTGATGATGTTGCACAACTAGACTATGGACAACCAAAATTATCCAAAAATGAAATTAAAATAGATTATATATGAACGCGTGACGAACATGCTGGCAGCATAAAGCAAGCATCTAAGAAACCTGATTTGGACGGCTCTGCATTTGGTCAGTTTGCAGAAATTGGAATAGCCAAATGCGAAACAAAGACCATTGAAATGGAGCACTTCTCAATTTGGAAAAGCCTCTGCCAACTTAACTCCTAGGAACTTAGTGGGCCAACTCAAAGTGTCTCCCTCACAAAATCTCCGACCAATGACATTTCATTTCTGTACTTTTCTCTCCGGTTCCCTCAGCACCTTGAACCTCCCCCCCGAGACAGTGCGTCAGTCTACTGCCAAACTGTCATTAGCTTAGCAATGCGACTGGGAGTGTCCGCCACCAGACCAGCTGCGTGCAGAACGCGTCGGAAAAAGGGGTTCCGTAACGAAGCTGGGAGAAGTCACACATGTCACACGCAGTTGATCCACAGCTGGTGCTAGTGAGAGCCGCCCTGCCTCCAACGCCTTCGGCGTTGGGCTGTATGGGGGTGCAGGTGCGACGCCATCTCAGGGCTTCGGCTCACATGGCAATCGGAGGCCGCGAGAATTACGACACAGCCGCCTGTCGTGGTTCTAGAGCTGTGAGCCATTGCTGTGAGTGAAGAACTATGAGAATACGTCCAGTGTTTCTTTCAAGACAATCGGCAGGCCGCCCGGCAAGCCGGCAGTCAAGAGCTGCCAAAACCAGGTGAAACTGTCCCAGGCTGGACAAAGTTGACAAGTTTGCGATGAAGGCAGATTGATAAACAAGTCAATGGCAACTGCTTGTCGGCAGAGCACCTGACAATGGCGAGTCATAAAGAATGACTGCCGTTCGAAAAATCTGGCCTCCCGTCATGTGGCAGGCGTGCAACAGGTACTGGTTCTTACTGTGTGGTTCTTTCAACTACCTGATCACCTGTAAGTCCAATGAATCTAAGATAATAAAAGAATCTGCCACATGATGGCTGACCAAATGGTTGTGACATTGCTTTGGCGAATTGAAGGAACCCGCTGTCCTGTTCGCTTCCACGAGAACTTGACGCAAATCAAGCCACTGACCTGCTTAGAACAGGTCATCTTCGTATCAAGATGCAGAATGCGTCTGTGGAGGATCATGACCGGCAGTCGCTGGTTCAAAACCAGAACCTGGGGATGTGCAGGGGCGCGATGCGGTGCGGTGGTGCGGCGACCGGCTATATCGATCCAGGGAGCCTCTGCTGCTGACTGTGGAGGAAGTCGGAGATGATTTGAGAGCAACCTGGAGAAAAGTACCAAGCGCTGAACACCTGTCAATACACCATCCATTCTCAAACTATATATATATATGGAGAGAAAGAGAGAGGGAGAGAATCAATCTCATTGATTCACCACTTGAGCTGTAACATTCCCTGGATCTGTTGTTAGTAGCGTGGCGATTGTGCATCGGGCATGCAACAAAATGCATGCGTCTCAGCTCTTTAGGCTGAAGCAATCGAACTCGCTGGGAACATCAAGCTCAAATTCCCACAACAGCCCAAGCCTCACTCTCCTTCAAACGTTGCTCCAAAGCTTGAATTTCATGACCACGTCTTTTCTGCTCCTCTCATGCGATGGGTGTGTCTGCACCTGCCTCCTCAGTCCTCCTCAATCATGCTTATCGTTCTTTAGTACTTGCCAGCAAGATCAGTCAATAGATGACCAAATGTATCCAAATGTATCCAAATGTGTCGACTAAATTTGCCATGCTTCTGATGTTCATGCAAGAGGCTCTCTCCTCGAACAAGTCTTGGATGCTGCCCATGCAGCGATCAACATCTTGCTCACGCGCCACCCGTTCTGTTGCCATTAGGGTGCGGAGCTCCTCAATCTCCACGGATGTCATACCTCCAGGAACATCAGGAATATCATGGTGCTGATGGGGGATGAGCTTGTCAGGAAGGAGGGCAACTTGGCCATTGGCAGACTTAGTCTTTCAGGTCGGGGAGAGTGACCCTGCTTGTGCAAAGTAGCTTCTTGTTACTAGTAGCGAACATTGCTCCTAGTAGTACGGTCAGGAGCCCCTAGTAGCGTCCGATCGCTCCTAGTAGCGATGCCAGGAGCCCCTAGTAGCTTCTTTTCTTCCACGGTTGATTGCTCTCGGCCTTCAGCAGGCTGCGACAGATTCCAGCAGACCTACAGCAACGTCTGGCCCGAGGGACCCGTAGTGGATAGCAAGGAAAGGTTGTCACATGTAACCGTGATCGACCAAGTTTAAGCTTTGTCAAAATGACCAATCTGATCTTGTTTAAAGCAAGCAGGGAACTGGGGCAGTTTGGTTTGCCTTTGCGGTCTCATTCTGCATCTGCGTGCACTTGCATACGTTCAAATTCTTTCAGGTACCAGCGCCTCTTTAATCTCCTCACGCAACTCAGACAAATCCTGCACCCAGTGGCTCGGTGCACCAGAACCCCATGTCGATTTGACTTGATGAAGCACTTCGTCTTGACAAAGCACAGGGCCGACCAGCCGCGCAGAATTTACATGGTTTCAAAAGTTCTAGGGGATTAACTGCAACACACCTGAGAAGTCGGGGGATGAAAGCCAGCCCTGGCACATGCTTAGGGCAATGTGATTTTTCGACTCAAGCAGCCCCAAGCAGCGATTTCAGCGTCTAAAGGGTTGCAGCTTGTGCCAGGCATGGGGCGCACACTTATATACCAATTTCCTTCGCGAAATTGATTTCAAACGTTGTGAGATGCATCTGCCATGCCCTGCTTTGTCCACTGTCTTATCGTTAGAACCCGCTCTTCCAAGGTGCCTTTTTTGCCCCGAGACGGCCTTCAGTGCATGGGGCACCAACCCAGAAATGCGGCTTAAGGGTTTGTTCGACTCTCTGCATCTAGACCTCTGTAATTCACAGTGTCTCTCAATACTGCGCAATGGTTTTTCGTGTCGTCTGCTTCAGGAGATTTGTAAGCACCGGCGTAAAAACGCGAAAACTGCAAAAACGTTAAGTTTTTGAGTGACGTTGGAAAAACACATTGCGCACTTGATTGAAGTTCAGGCACATGAGAACGCTTTGTGTGGATGTGGTCACGAACCTGCATTCAACATTCAAGGGCCGACTAGACTTGTAGGAGAGTTTTCAACCGGTATGCTCCCAAAATTCAATCAATGGGGTTGTTTTTTTTCATGAATGCGATGGGCCGCTTCAACACGTGCATCGACAATCTATCTCAAGCAGCGGCTTGCAAGATTGATTGATTTTAAAATGCTCGAAGTTGAATCTGCAGTGTTCTGCTTTGTCAAGGGTCTTATCGCCAGAGCCTGCTTTTTGGAGGTGCCCTTTTTAGTGCCAAAGGGGTCCAAAGGGCACCAACCCAGAAGGTGGCTGAAGGGTTTTCTTCGACTCTCTGCATCTATATAGATCACGATCAAAGGAAGTTTAGGGTGCAAAACGTCCGTGTTACGGACTTTCAACAGCTCTAGCTCTAGTTAGCTCTAGTTCCAGTCAGCTCTCTGGCTCCAGGTAGCTCTATCTAGCCAGTTTTAGCTCCAGTCAGCTTTAGCTTTAGTTGGCTCTAACTCCAGTTAGCTCTAGCTCTGGCTTGCTTTAGCTCGAGGTGGATCTCGCTCTAGTTAGCTCTAGCTCCACTCTTCAACGTGCATTTTGGAAAAAGTCTCGTACAAAGTGCATTTTTGAGAGATAGCGGATGCACGAAATGTTGCGTTTTTCAATACAAAAGATGGCTCCGAACCTGGTAAGGCAAGCTCTGCGGAACGACGGTTGCGGGACGGTCTCGCGTCATGCTCGGATCATGCTCGAATCGTCCCTCCATTGTAACTAGAGTTTTGACCTGTTTCTTGTGTACGTGCTGTGGATGGAATTCCATTGCGTTTTGCAACTCCTGGATGGTTTCCGCACTGTAAATGTGACTGCAAGTGCTGCTGGTGGATGAGTTGTCGCTTGAATTTCATTGCGTTTTGCAACTTCAGGATCGTTCCCGCAATGTAAATGGCACTTTCATGTCTGGTTGGATCATATCTTCCAGTTACATTATTTGCAGCTTATATTATTACTTTAGGGATGATCTCGCAGCGGCTGCTAAACTAGCGTAATGCATTCGATTGCGAAACCAGGAGGCTTGCGACTTCATTGGGGCCTGCATCATGGTTTCCAAGGCGGCACGCGGTGGTCGGTTGCATATGCCACAAGCGGCGCGGAGATTGCCGTTGCTATGACGATAGGTGTGCTGCAGCCCCCGGTGGTTTGGATTGCTGGCAGAAAACCACCCCCGCCGCCAGTTGTTCCACCTCGTCCAGCCCCTACCGGAGGTGCTGGGTGAACCGTTCCGTGGTCTTGCCGAGAGGCATCGGTCTGCGTGCGTCGCTGTGGACCGCGCAGACAGCCGGGAAATGCTCCTATGTCCGTCGTTGTGAACCGCATAGACAGCTGCTACCGCGCAGGTCTCTTTGCACTGGAAAAAAGGATGTGGTGAGGTGAGTCGGTGACGGATCGGCTGTGCTCTTGGACTTCGGTGCGTTGCTGTGAACCACCGATGAAAAGCAAAAGAAGAAGCGAGAGGAATTCGTGCCAGTGCCACTGCATGCACAGTGCCAGAGCGAGTACGCCGTTGTGGGCTGCTTGCATGACGCAGGGCATGCGCGAAGGGACACTCCGGACGCAGAGCTATAGGTCAAATTGTTCTTATAGGAAACTTCCGCCGCCGGCTTGCCCGGGAACTGCTTGTAGATATCTGTAATTCACTTTTTCCATACCTGCATCCACACCTTGTATATATATATATAATTATGTGTGTGTGATGGATCTGTTTACGCAGCTTCACCAACTTCCGCGTCCAACAACACTGTATTTTACGCCGGTTTTCCCGCCGCACTCCACTCCAAAACATCGCCATTTACCATGCTTTAAAATTTCCGCATCTCTTTGACTCCACTAACATACTTGATGCCAGGGAGGGCACCGAAAGCTAGCCAAAGCGACAAGAGGCAAGCACAACAGTAGCGGCCCAGCATACCAGCAGCAGAACCAGCAGCACACCAGCAGACCAGCAGCAGAACCAGCAGCAGCAGCAGCAGTTGGAGCAGCCCAGCAGCACGACAGCAGCAGAACAGCAGCTGCCCAGCAGAATAGCACACCAGAGAACAGCAGTAGAACATACTGCGATCAAAGTCTACAAGGCATTGCCAGACGAGATCCCTTAGTTTGCTTCCAGAACACAAGCCAAACTTATATATATACATATAGTATGCCGGCAGTCCAACAGCACACACCAGCGGCAAACCAGCAGCAGCAGCAGCAGCAGCTTTAGATCAACACTGTGGGTTTTTAGCTCTTGTGTATATAATATCTGTATATATCTCTGTCTTGAAAAGCCTTCTCAAACCACGCAAAGCAGACCCCTGACGGACCCCTAGAGCCTTCGGCTGGCTTTCATATTAGATTTTTTGAAGAATCTTACGGAGAAATTGTGCGCTTGAAAATAAAACCAATCTATATAGATTAAGTTGAAAACCATTGAAACTATGGTGACCTTCGCAGTAGTACAAAAGTCATGTGCACTCAGTGTGATCGGAAAACTATATATATATACGTTGTATATGTTGTCATTCACAACCGCAATACCGAACCTGGCTGACTGTTCAAAGACTACGCACATGGAAGGCACCAAGACCAGTGCCACCAATGCTCTGTGTTCACTGATTGGGGTTGCATCAGCCCGCACCAGTCTTGACCGGTGCATCACGGAGATCCACAAAGCGACGCAGGCTCAACCAACAAACAAAATTGCTCAGGACGCTGAATTATTATGAATTATTGCTGTGATTTTCTGTGTATGTGCGTCTGAAACCCGTTTGTAGGTGCAAACTGAGGCATCGTTCAACGCATACTGCTTGGATTCATGAGCAAAAATTGATAACAATTGCATGATCCTTGTTGAGCTGTCTGAACGACAATTCAGTCTGAATGGCCCTTTGGCATATCACACTGGGCATGTTGTCTCAAGGTCAACGGCGGAATCGGAAGCTAGAATGGCAGATTCGGAAACTAGGAAGGCCTCGGATTCGGAAACTAGGGACGCAACGGGTTCGAAGTTTCTGAATCGGATAGTTTCTGAATCGCAATATACCCGTGTCTGAATCATAGTTTCTGAATCGGAGCTCGTTTCTGAATTGTCTTCTGTTCTTGTCTCAAAGTGAATCATTCGTGCATGATGCAAACGCGGCTATGGCTTCAGGCCGTCCTTGGTGTACTTCTCGACAAATTTGGCGAGTCCCAGATCCTTGCGACAGCAGCTTCGGCGAACAAACCCGCAAAGGCATAAAAACGCGACTTCTACAATCTGCAAGTCTACACATATCTTCGAATATAGCCACCTTAGCAATCTGATCGGTTTCGGAAAGGGTAAATCGAACAACGCTGAATGGACCATGACTATGACCATGCAGTTGTTGTTTCGCGTTTCTTTCGAATCCGTCAGTCGGCTTCTGCGAGAGCTCGCTCTGTCTCCAATCAAACAACAAAAAGTTCTGACTAAAGGATAAAGCGACCTCCCCGTACATCGTGGAAGCTTACAGGTTCATATGGTGGTTGTCCAATATTCTTGTTTATTGAAACGGCCATTCTTCGCGAAAAAAACATTAACATTCGCGAAACTTTCGCGAACCCTGTGTTTTTCTTTCGCGGGGGTTCACCATGTCATGAAACCATTTAACCTGGTAGGGACTCGATTTCTAAATACAGTTTGTGGGGTTGCTATGGGCTACGGGGTTCCTCTGGAGCCGATTCATTCGCCGAAACCTTCGCCAGACTTTCGCGAAACTTTCGCAAAATAATCCCTGTGCTTTGGAGGTTTTTACGGCATACATAACATAGGGTGGACTACATGAAACAGGAAGGAAGCTTCACACGGATTCCAAAGTTGAAGCTGCTGACGGTCAGAAAAGGATGTGGTTATGCATGGGGCAAGCCTGAAGGCTCGCCAAAGAACATACAATAAAAATTCATACTTTCGCGAATCTTTCGCGAAAAAAACATTAACATTCGCGAACTCGAAAAAAAACTTTCGCGAGACCCACGATCATGTCATCCAAGGCTCTTGACATTAAAAACCCTTACAAGGACCTTTTGGATAACTCCCATATGCTAGTTGCTTTGCCTGTCTCATGCTACCCAAAGACATGGCCATGAGCCGCTTCTTCGATCTTCGCTTGCTGATCGGCGAACAGCTGCTTCCAGTGCTTCAGGTCCTCGCAAACACAGACCACGTCCAAGCAAAAGAAGGATCCTTTCAAGATCTTTCAAGTGTGGTGACCCAGGTCACCTTGAAGGCAAAGCTGCAACTCAAGCTTCACCGTTTGACATTAAATTTGTTGACCTCTCTCTCTCTCTCGGCAGCGTGCCGTACCTATTGACCCATCTTGCCCAACCCTCCGCCGAGCCGAGACACACTGGCCATTCGGTCTTCTACAGCTTTCCTGAGCAACTCACTGTGAGAAATCAAGTCCCAAACAAAGGATCTATAAACTCAGAAATTCTGTGAATGGGAGCCCGTAAGAATGAACACAAACATAACATATAATATAAATACACTAGAATTCTTAAGAGGTAGCTGAAGAATATTATATATGATCTGCGACTTCAGGCTTTCAAGCTGTTTTCGTGCATTTCCCACCGCCATCTGAGCACAGCCCTCAGATCGCAGCAGGATCTTCATTGCCGTATCCTCTCTGTCCTCCAGAACCAACTGAGTTGCTACTCTTGTCTCACTGACTTTGGCCTGGCTTGTCTTGCAGTCCCCATATAGCTATCATATGCCATGATAGCTTGTAGAGTCCTCTGTTGCTTAGCACCTGCTAAACCTATTGATGATGGTCGCAACAAAAATATCTAGAAGCCTCACTACCTGCACAGTACCTGATTACGGTCAGGAGTCAGTACCATGCTGTCTCCGGTCTCCTTCGTCTCCTCTGCAAGGTGCCGTTGCCAAAGCTGCGCTTCTTCCGCACACTTCAGTTTTGCCTCTCTCGCCTGCAGGGAACCATAGCACTGCACCAAACTTGGGGCTGAACCTGGTATTCAATCTTGACGGACAGCGCGCAGCAATTATATATCTACGACTGCCACGCTCACCAGGCCTCTGATATCGCAGCTTGCAGCTGGGACGTAAAGCCACGCTCAAAGCGTTGAAAGGCTTCCATTTGGCACTGCTGGTGCTCCTCCAGAAGCCTCAACCACCAGCAGAATCGCAAAACATCCCCCAAAGGTCAGTGGCACCCAAAAGCGCCTGGACCACTGCCCCTCTTGCGTTTTATGGATCTTGTGGTGTGTGTGTGTGTGGCCCTGGTGTGCTCACACTCAGGGGTGAAGGGTCCACCTCTGCACTCTTCACATCTTCCCCCTAGATTGGCCCAACGCCTAAACGCCCTTCTGAGCAAAGCCAAGCAAGCTGGGCAGGAAATCGGATTGCAGTACTCTGATGCTAACATCCGCCACATCTGCCGATAATTTAGTGATGTAAAAATGAAGTAGCTCTTTCTCAGGATATCATTCTGAAATTCGATGGTTGACGGCTTAGTTGGCTTAGTTGTTCGTCTCGATTAATACGAGACTGTATAGATCTTTTGCTTGCTTGCTTGCTTGCTTGCGTGGTCAAAGTTTTTCATGTGTGTGCAGCAGTTGATATAGGTTGTACATGGATGGGTTGAAATTGATGACTTTCTCCGTTCACAAGCCAAGCCACTTGTGCAGCTTCTCGGTGTCCTACCGAATTCATGGCATCAATGGAGAGGTTTCACATCATTGTCATAGAGACCAGTGTGATCTGTGTGGCTTCCCAAACAAACCAAGGCTTGAAGCATTTGTTGTCGCCTTCTTTCGAGAAGCGACCTCCTCCTTAAGGGCCACTTCAAGTTGGCTGCAGCGGGCAGCAATGGACTGCCTTCAACGACGACATTGGTTCGTGCTGGTGTTTATGGGTACGGGTAGAGCAGTGCTGCGTTCAGTTTGGGGCACTCCTCATGTGTGAATGCTACTGTGATTTGTGAATACAAAGGAATATACTATATAATACTGTCATCTACTTCTCAGCAGAGTTTAAAGTGAATCATAGGGGATCTTCAATGAACTTGTTGCCACTGGTTGAAGCAGCGTGTTGGCAAAGCAGGGGCATCACAACCAGCCTCTCTGACTCCTTCAACTCACTGGAAGGTTCCATTTCCTTGGCTTGGATATGTGCCGGCTTACGGCTCGGTCATTGACCTTTCAGAAACATGGCTGACAAGAAGCTCCACTCAGTCCACAGCAGCGGGCCCGATCAATCAACCTCGAACAGGGGCCCTTCCAGACTTAAACTGCCTCTTGAACAATCTATCACGAGCAATCTGCCAGAAGAATCCAGAAGTAAGAAACAGTCTTTCAATAGGTCTCCACCTGGACAAATCTCCAATGGCGTTGCCAATCTCTGCCTTTTGCTCTGTCATCTCTTGGTGGAAACGCTCTCCTGGGCTGAATGGCCGGAACACAAAGTTACAGTAGGCATACATCAAAGCAAAGATCAGTACAGTGACATGTCGGATTATTTGCAGCGACGTTCGACTTGCTAGCCAAGCAACGCAGCTGCACAAATTCCTTCACTGCTTTTTGGGCCTGCTTCGCTGCCATGCCTCTCATGTCGATTCAAAGCATCCACCCTCCCATTCCCAATGCTTTCGTTTGATGTCATGTGGATTTGGGTTTGTGAACCCAACCCTGACCGGGTAAGGGGTCAAAAAAAAAAATAGAATCAAAAAATATTCAACGGGGATCAAAATAAAAATAGATAAAGAATCAAGAAATATATATTCCAGCCCACTGAGGATGGTTGGGGTTGAGCATCGGCTCAAAAGCCTTCAACAGAAACGCATCTGACCAGGCTACTTGCAGCCTTGTTATAACATTCACTGCGCAGAGGTGTTGGAAGCTAAGGTCGGCCCTATCATCCACCTGTGTGGCATTGCCACAGTGTTTAGAGCATAGAAGAATGGAGGGGACAGCAGCAGCCACCTCAAAGGACCAAAGACAAGGACTAACACGCCAACACTCCAAAAATGTGCCAAACAATGGCATGCACAAGTCTCCAGCAACCCCCAAACATATGGCCAATCAGGAACAAGCAGCAAAGACACTGAATTGAAAGCCTTCAAAAGTTAGATGGCTCGGTTTGGCTCCGCAAGTGCCCTGCGTGGAAGCTATGTACGTTGACAAAAAGGAAGCGCTTCACACCTGCTTCAAGATCAACAGGAGCAAACAATGAAAGGATATGTTCACAAGTTATCAAAGAGACTTAGACGACGTGCAATATGTGATCTGCAAAGTGCGATGGGCGACCCTTTACATAGTTAGTTTTCGTGGCCGGCGGGGTGCAAGAGTGCAGATTTCGTGGTGCTGGAGGGGGGTTGGGGGGGAGGGCGCAGCGCCTCCCCCCAAAGCGAACCAAACGTTAAAACACAGCACCACAAAAGAAATCACGAGAAACTATGTAACCTATCGTCCTTTCAGTGAAGGGCATCTAAAGTGCACAATAGGACCTAAGGCAGCGGAAGCCAAAAGCATTGTACGTTTGCAGGAAAACTGCGGGCAATAAGCTACAAGAGGAAGGACCAAAGGCATCAAAAAGCATCAGTGAAAGAACACGGAGAAAACCATAGGAAACCCGCAGACCAGAGAACCAGGAGGGCAAAGGACCAGGAGACCACGGGACCGGACCAGGAGCAAAGGACCAGGGGGGCCAAAGGGCCTGTAAGGGCCTGTGGACCAGAGGACCAAGGGACCAAAGGACCAAGGGACCAGGGGACCAAAGGACCAGTGACCAGAGGACCAGAGGACCGGCAGACCACAGGGCCAGGAGAGCAGCAGACGAGGCTGCCTATCCAGGAATATTTTTTGATCATCTTTTCATGTGTTTGTTGATCATCTTTTTACCTTTTTGATGCTCTTTTTATTTGTGTTTGATCTAGATGCCACCCTGCCCGCCTTCACCTCTCACATCTGGTTGTTCCTGCTGGCTGCGCTCTTCATACGCAAAAACTCAGCTTACAAAGGATCCGCTGTAGCATCCCACACTTTGGCTATCTTTCATCAGAGTGACAACCCTGTTAGACTCAGTACATACCCCCGTGCACAAAAAAAATTGTTTGAGGTACGCATCTTCTTCCATGTCCTTCTCAACTGAAGCCAACTGTGACCGGATCGACTCGTTGGCTCTTTTCTCCTGGGCTGTGTGTAGGCTCAAACATGGCAATATGCTTCAAAAATCTTCAAAACGCACAGACAGAGCGAGCGAGCGAGAGAGAGAGAGAGACGCACACGGCACACACACACACAAACGGATGTGGTGTCAAAAAGAAAGCTTGCAGTTTTGTGAATACAAGCATTCTAAACGAATTACATCAAAATGTCTGCAAGTACGAAGTAGAACGACTTATGTGTATATATGTGTAATTATGTGTGTATATATATATATATTATATGTGTGTGTGTGACTCAGGACCTATTCACATCGCTCCGCGACGAACACCGCCCACACGGGGGGGCAGTTTCATGGTTGTTGATAGTATCATTGATCACAATTCCGCAGAAACACCGTCAAGCCAAGATTGCGAATTACGAAAGCCTGGAAAGAAAATATTCTACACTGAACAGGCGATGGCAAAAGCATTGAAAGCACACACTGTATGCCACTGTCATCTAATGTCACACTGCAATGTGCTCAAGGGGACTGCCGGAGTCCCACCACACCACTTGTATTGAACCGGTGCTGATCGGCCAAGCCACCGTAAGCACTACCTCCATTTTCGAACTCAGCTGCGTGCGAGCCTCACTTTCCAACCTTGGAACATGAGGTTAAAACATGGGCATACAGTATGTGTGGGCAAATTCCAGGGTAGTCTCAGGTTAGACTGATGCTTCGAGTTCAATCGTGGAAGTGGCGAAAGCTCTCTGAATTTGTCAGCATGGCCCAAAGTATGTCCGGCATTCAACTGCCACGCTTTGTTTTTAACACCATGCCCCAGGTCTAAAGCAAGTGCCAGCCTCAACGCTTGACGAAGTTGGCGAACTTCCTTGAGGCCGCATTCGCACCATATGGTGCATATGGTCATAGAATTCAAGCCATCAACCATTACCAAGCCCATTTCAAGTTTCCGCATGCCTCATGCACACCTGATTGCCTGATTGAAGCTGTCAAACAGTACGTCAAGATACGTCAAGAGCCAAGGATTCACACCACCCCCGTGAGACCTCCATCAGTTCTTTCTGTCCCTTCTGAGACCTGGCACCGACGGACAGCCAAAGACCACGGGCGAGCCCAAACGCTTGGTGACCGCGGGTGACCAGTTGATGTCACGAAACTAGCCCTGTATTATACTACTAGCGTCCTTGTTGCTAGTACAGTAATGCCCTTGTTACTAGTAGCGATGCCATTGTTACTAGTAGCTTCTAGCCACTAGATCTATTGATCATCTACTCCCGTGCTTCAAATGCTTCACACGTTGGCTAAGCCCACCCGATTGCCTGTCACACTCCTCCTCTCGCAGGACGTGCTTTATAGATTCAAGGACCTCCCAAGTAAGGACTTGGCAACCATGGACCATCCCATGACACATGCTCAGGAAGCTGTCCAGCTCTTCAGAAGGTTACTCCAACATTTTTCATTCAGCATTGCAATCCAAATGTGCAATGCAAGTGCGACTGCAGATTGAAAAGCCAAAAAAATGCCGCTTCAGCTCCTTCTCTTCAGGTGTTGAGGTGTCAGTGGTGCTGAGAGAGTCGCCACCTCCTGGTTTGACAAAGGCGTACAGCCAAACCTATCGCCGAGCTGGCAGTGCTACCGCTATAGCAGCCCAAGCATTTTCACTCAAGAGCCCAAGGTCACATTTGGCCTTTGGACCTTGGAGCAACCCAATCTGAATTGGAACCAAGTGGCTGGGAGCAGGGCTTCGGCACGAAACACGAACCTGTCATCTTCACTACGCGAGGCTCAAGCAGATGTCAAAAACATCCAAAAACAATTCCTCGTGTAGCGCGGCGTCCCAGAATCATGAACAATAACATGGGTGGAACTCCACGGGGGTGGAACTCCGGAAATTTTGCATATGACAGTCACAACCGACTTCAGTATGATGGAGCGAGCGCATGGGAGCGGAAGACGAAGATCCCTCTCGCAATGTATCCTTATATACACCTTTGTGCGTGTTGTTCAGTTGTTCATACTTCTACGTGCCACAATTTGGTCACCTATATAACCTTTACAGGGTCACCTGATCAACCACGCCTCTTTGCTCAATGTGTCTGCGGCACTCCTAGCCACTCAAGAAGCCAAAGCACACAGTCCCCAACCCGATTCAAAGCCACGCTTCTTGCCCACCGTGACCCGTCAGGCTTTCTACTTAAATGAAACTGTCAGACCATTTCGGTGCTCCTCATCTCCAACATCTTGCCTTTGAACATCTCCAGTTCGTTTTCAAGCCACCTTGGAGTAGGAACAAGAACGCAGCATAGAACATTTTGCCTTGGCTTGTTGGGCTCAAGGAGCTACATTCGCGATATTCTTGATGAAACGACTGCCTTCATCTCACCGCTCTCAAGTGCTCCAGGGCGCTGCAAGCGATTCAGGTCTACATCCCCATGGCGCACCTCCACAAGGAGACGACGGCATTGGGGAAATTAGGCTAGCAGATGCTAGTAAATAGTCTGATCTTGGACGCTCCATAAAGGAATCAAGCTGCCGCTTGCTTTTCTCCGATGGGACCAAGCTCCTTTTGCATCCACTGGGAATGGGTCTCGGCCGTAGTAGGTTGGAGGCCATCGCTAGTAGGTTGGAGGCCATTGTTATTCAGTTGGAGGCCATTGCTATCAGGTAACGATGCGTGTTGGGCGGCTGCAGTGTTGCACCTGTCAGAATTAGGGGATACAGGGTCTGCGAAACACAGTATCTATTTAATGCATTAAATTCAAACATAACCTCAGCACCCCTCAAACAAGTTGCAATTGTCATATCAATTGTCTGCAAACCTGCTGCAAAGCCACATCAGCCCAGTCCCAAAGCCACCTTGTAGGGTTCGTCTTCTGCAACAGCAGGCAAAATGCCGGGACAACTACCTGACCAGGGGGTCAGAGGCATTTGGCCATCTGAGAACTTGCGAAGTTCCCTCAGGCCCTTGCCGGAACTCTTGATCATCCTCGTTGGTGCCTGAATCAGCTACCACAGATCCAACAATGTCTCCATCGTTTCTCCTGTGTATGAGCCACGTTGCACAGGTTGGAGGCCCATCATTATTAGGTTAAAGGCCATCGCCATTAGTTTGGGAGTCCATCGCCATTAGGTTGGAGGCCATCGCT